TAATTGAACACGGATAAGTCTAGCAATTGATTGTTCAAGTTCAGAGTTGGATTGGTCAAAATAACTACCGTTCATAAGGGGCAAAATAACTAAGTAAGTCAAGTTGTGAGTTGCTTTAGTGTCATGAATCCTCGTCCCACGTCTGATTTTAATGATGAGAAGGGTTTTATACATATAAGATGGGGTGTTAACACAATTTAATAGTTGAATCATGAAATACCTAACTCGTATCAGATGTATTAGAGCAGACCCAATTCTTGATAGCTTAAGCTTTTGGGTCAGACTGTAAATCACTCAGTCTCGATAGTAGGGATGGCAATGGGACGGGTATGGAGCTGGTTTACCTAAATCTGTACTCGCCTGTTTAATTATGGTTGCCCTATAGCTATGACGGTTTTTAATTTTACAATTCATACCCGCTCCGTTAGAAGATAAATGTATCCGTGCCTGTCCTGCCCAACCCCGTTTACGTTTTTTATTTTATTTATTATTATCTATATAAATAAATTGATAAAATTTATAAATTCTACAAAATGTAAATATATATATATATGGTGCGACCGAGCGTGTGTACAAAATAATGCACAACATTTTAAGTTTAGAAATAATGTCAAGTGGGCACCATATTTTAAAATTTATAAAACCACTAAACACTTATACTATGAAGTATGAAGTAAGCAGGGATCGTGCCAAGAGATCTAAACAATTATAGGTATTCCAGAATTGAATTCTTCTTTAGTGCTTATGTGATTACTAAAAAGGTTTGGTTTTGTGATTAGTCTAATTTTAAACTAAATGATGCAAATAAATAGTAGAGTTTAAAAGATTGAAAAGAGACTTAGGGTGTAGGATTCACCATTAAGTACATTCCCTAACTCACTCACTTTCAACTAATCGGGAAAATAATAATGTGTAATCTAAATGTGGCTAACAACTGCAATGAAAAGTGTAAACCATCAATTTCAAGCATGAATCAACTACTTAACGACAATTAAACTAAGTGTAGTGCAATTCACCAATTCAAAGTATGATTTATCAATTCAAGTTGCAATTTCAACACACATTAATCTAAAAAATAATGCAATTGTGACAATAAGCATGGATTTCAAACACAGGCATGGATGATTTGTTGGGTTTTAATTAAATTAATCGATGTAAAAATCAAGAATACTTTAAAGAGTAATTTAGATATCGTACCTGATTGATAATTAAACCACATAGTACCTTTAGAATATCCATGTAATCCTCTGTGAGTTCCTACAAAACATTAGAGCGCTTTACCCCCTTCTGAGAGTTATCGATACGATAGGATTGAATAAGGGTTTTAAAACCCTTATATATAACAACAATAGGGGGGAACGACTTCTCTACAAACAAGCATATCTAAGTCTCCCTTCCTATCATGAAAACTTAGATATCAATGGTTAGAATTAAATCACACCAAATAAGTTGGAAAACCACAATCCAACGGTATAAAACCATACTCCCAATTAGACCACCAAATTAGAAAGTACAACCCAATCCATCAAGTATCAATAATTACATTGCAATCCTATTTTAGAAAACATAGTACATAGGACCATAAAATAATTTTTATTATTTAAATATATATATAAAAATTCCAACATAATTTACTTACCTAGGAATTAAATTGCAATTTAACTAATTAACCTTAAATTAAACTAACTAAAAATGAAATTAACTAATTAAACAAGAAATTAATCTAATTGTGTAGAGCAATCCATCTATTATAAGCAATATCCATCAAATTGATTCACAACTACAACTAAATATCACCAGGTATAGTCATCACAAGAATCAATTTACAAAGAATTCAACTGTAAAGCTTGTTTATTCATCAACCACACATAAGACAACACATGATTAACACAAATAAACATTTGAAAGAATTGATTCATATATTTCAAGCTTATACAATAACTACATACTAAATCCCCAAAAAGTATGAAAAGAGAGAGAATAGGTTACATGCTTAGGGTTTATCCAACCCTAAGTAGAAAAATCAGCCACTCATGATTGATGGAGTTGAAGACAGGACAATCTCCATCCTTGGATTCATCATCTCTGAGTTTTCTCTTCCTAACCCTAGCATGTTCTTCCTTTCTCCTCTTTTGCGTTTTCCAGAGAGAAAAATATATCGATACAGAATATAAAACTTCTTAATAAAAAAATAAAATAAAATTCTCTCCAAACTAATGAAAAACTAACTTTAAAAATAATGGGCTTGTTTCCCTTAAATAACAAATATTATTAAAGCTCATAAGTTGCAAACAAATAAGCCTAAAAGACAAAATCCCGTAATGCTGCCAGAGCCTGGGGGATTGATCCCACAGCCTTGGGGGTCGATCCCCAAGGGGCATTTTTAGTTCTGTGAATAGTGGGGGATCGATCCCCTACCCTGGGGGATCGATCCTCCAGAGTTGAAAATTTCCTTTAAGCCTTATTTAGCTCCGGGCTAATTGGTTTGCTTCTTCATCTTTGGGAACATCATCAAAGGCCCGAGATTGACCGCTTTTGAAGAATAAACACACTATACGAGCAATGGGCTGCGACCTCTTTTTGCCATTTTCTGAACTTTTTCTAAATGTCTTTGCTTGACTCCAAAAAGGCCTTAGTGAACCAAAATTAGTCCATTTGAACCTTATTGACCTGAAATTGACAAAAACATAAATTAGAACTAAAACATAAAAATAAGATAGATACAATGACTAAAATACCCTAGTTTAGGTGCTGAAATGTGTAACATTTAAGCACTTATCAATATATATATATATATATATATATATATATATATATATATATATATTATTAATAAAGTATAAAGAGAGGGGCGGATGCTTCTCAAAACCCGTACCCGCCCCGTTATACACAGCGGATTTAAAATCTAAATTCATACCCGTCCGTACTGTATATAAACGATTTCCATACCCGTGCCATTAGGGGTAGAACGGGGCAAATCTCCATCGGGGTGGTTCAAATTGCGATCCATATCCGAGAGTATTGATGTGATTCGAATGAAGAGTGTCTAATAACTTAAACTCTTGGGTCGGACCGCAAATCACACAGTCGGTGACATTAGAGTCGGGGTCATTAAGTCCAACCCTAATCCAAACTTTATTTTAGCAATTTGGTTTCTTTACCGTCACAATGTCTGTCAAGAAACTCATATTTGAACATCCGCACCTAACATAATTAGCATCGGTTCAATACCACATTAAAAAAATGTTTTAAAAATTTGCAACCTAACTAACCATTGGAATTAGGCACAATCTCTTTCAACATCCCCAAATAAGATGGGTATGTCTTGACATTAAACTGCTAAGAGAGAGATCTCAACAAACAGAGGCAAATAAAATCAAATACAGAATGTCAAAACTATTTATCACTATATTTAATCTAATAACAATAGCTTACATTTTGCTGGCACTCTGACCACACACACACACACACACACATATTGTGACATTTTGACCACATATATGTAATATGTATCTGTAGTATGTACAAGTTGTATCTATAGATGAATGCCTTTTCGATTAAACTACCCAACCAACGCTATTCTAATGGGTCGGCCTGACATTCGTGTGTGTGTGTTCGAATGTCTATACTTTGTTTTAAATTTACACATAATTGTTCACTTCTTTGTGCAGGAAAATGTATGTACATATTTTATTAGGCAGTTTAAAAAGTACTTTATGTTTTATAAGATTTAATTCATGCATAAATTTTTTATACATTAGTGAGAAAGTGAACAGTCATATATATATATATATTAAAAAATGAAAATATGTGTATAAATAATGATATCTAAACCGAAGAAACTTGCTAATTTCATCCCAAGTGTCCTTGGTGCATTGCGAAGTACCGTGTATTGCAGAGAATTTTGGTTCTAAATTATTCTGAGGCCTTTTTTAATATATAAGTTCTAATAGCTTAGATTTGAAAATATTTGCATTAAGTAATAATAAAAATAGCAGACGTCTCGATAGTCCAGTGAATTAGTATCTCCTATGAATCTTAGAGTGTCAGGCTTTTTAACCTTATTTATTTACTCATCAACTTCTAACACTTCTTGTCTTGAAAAAAAAAAATGGTATCTTGTAAAAATAACAAGGTAAAGTGTAAATAAAAAAATAAAAAAACTTACTTCTTATATATATATATAAAATGCAAATAAATAAACACTTTTGCTATTTAGCATGCGCATATAAATTCCTAACTTTTGAAAAAGTTTGCAACAAATTGCTCCCTCTAACCAATTTTGATGAAAAAGTTCTCTTAAAATCCCAAAATACCCTTTTAAATCATGGACTTTTTGCTTTTTCTTTTATTTTGTTGTAAGGGCATTTTAGATATTTCAATTACTAAATTGTAAATTGTACTTATTTGCTCAATTTGAAAAAATGCAGGAAGTTTTTTGAACACTAAAAGATATATTTGCACATAGGTATATAGAAGGTTTTTTGTTTTTTTTTTTGCAATTTACCCAAATAACAAAAGTACTAAAATCTAAGGCATTTTGACACAACTCTGGCATGACTATTAATCCTCTTCTGTGTGTGCCAAGTTCTATAGCATTGAAAAGCTTGGTGCTCTTGGGCATTGATTCAAGGAACATTGCTTCTAATGTCTGCTAAACATTTTTCCTAGTAACATTTCTTTTCTAAAGAGTTTTTAAGTTTTTTTTTTTTTTAAAATAAAAATAAAACTAAAAAAAGAAAAGAAATTGTCCCAACAAAGTATGAATGTCATTATCATGCTTGTGTTAAAACTAACTATAAATTAACTTTATTCAACCATTTAAAAAAAACCATAGTTACACCTCTTTGGATCTGTAGTCGCAGATGTGGTTTCACTATATTTCTTTGTGTGCAACTGTAATATTTAGACATAAATAAAGGCGGTTAATTCAGTTTACTCTTATTGATGAAGAACTTAGCTCCCTCTGTTTCCTTCTAAATCTCCAAAACATGAAAAATTCATTTAGCATTCTCTATGGTTACAGAACCTTTGCCATAGGTACTCCTAGTGCCTGCTTGACGATAAATAATTGGCTCTCTTTTAATATCCTGTCAACCCATAAAAGATAAGACCAGTTAGGGAGGGTAAATATAGCTTAACAAAATCCAAATAAATGCAGGATATTCAAAAAATAAAAGGGAAATTATTTGTGATTCGAGCACAAGCTCTATCGGAAAAGTTTGGACTATGTTCAACAGTTTAATGCTTATATCAATTTGAGTTTTTGAGCAATAACTTTGTGAAACTTCAAAAGTTGAGCTGATAGTACAACACCACATTGGACGGTATTTTTAAGGTCTGTTCAAGTTTGTGAAACATCAAAAGTTGAGTTGGCATCTTCAGGAGCACAGTGCTACAATGGACGACTAAGATTAATTCACAATACTAGCGTATGCTCAAGTTTTAGTGATTTTTTTGTGTTGAATTAACATTCTTTGTAGTACTACAACACTACATTAAACGGCTAAAATCAATTCACAATACTTTGAATCGATTTCAGTCGTCCAAGACAGTATAACACCTGCGTTGTATAGCTTGTACTATAGAGGAGTTGGGTTCTCAAGTTAAGTATGTCCCAAGTCCTCCCTCATTTTGTGAAACATCAAAAGTTGAGTTGATATCCTATGCAGTACAACACTATATTGGACGGTTATGATCAATTCACAATACTTTAAATCGATATCAGCCGTTCAAGACAGTACAACACTTGTGTTGTATAGCTTGTACTATATAATGTAAGGTTTTCAAAAGTTAGATCTGTCCTAGGCCCTCCCTCCTCGGACTTTACAACAGCCGACCACAATTGAATAATGTCCCTTTTATATATCTATCATTTTTTAAGAATATATATATCAAAAATTTTAAAAATGCAAAGAAGGAAGAAGCATACCATATGCTTGAGAGCCATATCCAAGGAACTCTTTGACATCATCCTTCCAAAACCAGAGCTCTCATTCACAGAACCATTCAACTTTGGCTTTGTTTCTCTATCTTCAGCACTCAACTTCCTAGCATTCATGAACTTGTCCAACATTCTACTGCCCAAAACTTGTGTTCCACTCCCTGCAGCTTGGACTCTACTTTCTTTTTGTGCACTCACATTTCCTTCACTCTCTTGCTTTTGTTCCACTCTGCGTCCCCTAGTCACACTTGGTGAGCATGACTGCCTCCTAGGGTTAGTAATCGGCTCGGGTTTCCAGACAATCGGCATAGCTTGGTTCCCTGGTCGACCCCTTGTGGCAGAAGATGCTCTATCTGTCCTTAAATTCGTCGGTGTTTGATCCGAAAATCCTGGAATTTGAGCTGGGATTGTTGATCTCACTAGGGGTGACACCCCTCTGCTTTTAGGTTTGGATTTTGAGTCTGTGCCAATGCTTTTTGAAAGGTTTGAAGTGAGAAAATTTGGATTGCTTTCTCTCTGCTTTGTGGGTTTTGGAGTAGTAGTTAGTATTACATTTGGTTTTTTCATGAGGTCAGTGGTGGATTGGTTCATTTTTTGGTTTGGTAATGGTTTGAATTTAGTGTTTTGTGATGAAATATTGGTAGGTCTCCCACTTGGGGTTACAGATTTGGGAGGGACTTTAGGCTTCGGCTTTGGATTTGGATTTGGATTAGGAGATTTGGGCCTTCCACTGCTTGCCATTGTTGCCTCTGAATTTCCTGAAAACTGAGTTTAAAGAATTCCTAATCAACTATTATGGAACATTTTAATGAATGGATCTGAAATGACTGGAATTTCAAATTTACACAGTGAGCTGTTATTCGTGTTCCATATATACCCTTTTAAATTTTACCTTTATTATCAGTTATTTTAAAAGAAATGTAAACTTGATGACACCTGACTAGTCGAATGTTTCACAATGATGTAATCCCTATCTATAAGTGTCTCACAATGATGTGGCCCTTATTTACAACTTCTGTAATGGGGCCCACAGCATTGTGAGACACACACAGTCAAATGTCATCAAGTGTACCATACTTCTTATTTTTAAGGTACACAAACACCCTTTTCTTTTTCAAAATTATTACTAATAAGTTCATAACTAATTATTCCAAATCCATATATAAAGTTTTCAAATCTCAACCTCTTCGAAAATTTATGCATAAGGTTATCAAATCAAACTATCATTTTATTGAAATTTAAATCTAAATTATTTAATTCGAGTAATATTCAAAAGATTAAATCTATATTAATCTCTTTAAAACCCCTCAATTCAAGTGTGTGTTCGTGTGTGACCATGCCTCCAATTCTTTAAATAAAAAGAGTGTAAGATAAAAGGTATACCCTTGAGAGAGGCTGCATGATTGGTATCTCCCTTTGAGCCACAAATTCCGGGGCATTTGCTTCCATTTCTAAAGATGGAAATAGAGGAGTCGCTGGTGGGGTTTTTAACCTATATATACATACATATATATATATATATATATATATATATCACAAATGTTACTATTCTTAGGATTGAGACTAGCATATAATTAAACATAATATATATATATTAATTGAATTTGATTAATTGTAACTTATAAGACTTTGGAGCAATTACAAATTTACAAAACTGAAATCATTAATTTTGAACAGTAGCAGGAGCTCTAGGAACTTTAAACAGTTGTTTGAACAACAATTTGAGTAATGAATGAGAGTCGGACAGCCAAACACATCCGACTAATTTTTTCATTATCCAACATTCAAACTCCAAGTTATTACCGTTTATACCATCATTGTTAATATATTGGAGGAGTGTTTGGGACTTTTTTTTTTTCGGGCTTTCAAACAAGACATAAGAGAAGTAGATAGGTTATGGGTAGGTTAATACCAGTCATAGTCATTTTTTTCAGCCTCACCCAGAAATTCATATCCTAATCCTTTTTTTGCAGATGGCACTGTGTAGAGTGGATAATTTCCTGTACATATATTGAGCTCAAACAAAATTAATGATATATATATATATATATATATATATATATATATAGAAGATGATGATACATGATTATTTTTTTAATGATGAATGATGAACATAAATGGGAAATATTGCATGAGGTGCATGGCCATACCATTTGACTCAAAGTCATCGGAGACAGGCTGAAGGAGGCTGACGACGCGATCTTTTTCGCGTTTATGCATCTCCCGGAATAGAAGAAGATCTTCATCTCTGTCTTTCCGGCCATTTGATGTCGGAATTTTCCTCCGTCCACCTCCACCACCACTCATACTTCTCTCTCTCTACTCCTTAATCTTATCTTCTGGTTTGATTGGGTCGGAGAAAACTATGATTGATTGCAAATGACTGAGCACTTGCAAGATTGTAGTGAGAAGGAGTGTGTGTGTGTGTGTGTGTGTATATATATATATGTTTGTCTAGTGTCCCAGAAAACATAGGCCGGCTGATTAATAATGTTAAGGTCTAAGCCAACAACAGGATCAAAGAAATATTCAAATGGAGATGGTATGAGACAAAAAAACAGATTCTTCTTTAAAGGATTACATTTGGCAATATTTGCATTGCATTGCATTGCACTTGCTCTATGTATATTATTATATGCCTTATAAACTAATGTATGTAAAAACATTAATACTATTGAAAAATAAATACATTATTAACAATTCTATGGTAGAGCTATTGAACGCATATGTTGGGTAAAGACACCAAAAAATAATTATTGGCAATTTTTAATATATTTTTATTACTCAAAACAACCCAAAAACAAATATTACCAAAAGAAATAGAAGAGCTCCCAATAACATAATAAATGCCTTTTTAATGCCTTAACATAATATTGTACATGCGTTGCGTTTACTATTGACAAACAAATATTTAGATTATCCAAAATGGTCGAAGCTTTGGTAAATTTATTAAAGACGAAAATGAAATCACCATTGATTTCATGATGGATCACTATGATTATACGCTATAGCCCTTTATAAATTTATCGAAGACGAAAAAAATTCATTTGATATTATGGATGACTGTTTATTTGAAATTGTGAATGACTGGTTGAGGAGAGACCGTTTTGTTTTTGTAAGTTGGTCCGGTTCATTGATCGAACATATATTTAGATTATCCCCAAAACTTTTTCTTTTGTTTGTCTCTAAATATTTTCATACCGATCATCTCATGATTATGAACAAGTCACGTCATCAATTTTATTTTAATTTACTTATTTATAAAAATCATAACACGGTGACTAGTTTAAATGTAGCTTATGCAAAACAATGGAAGAGAATCCAAATTTCTCCACTTGAAAGTACCACGTAGATGGAACGAGTAGAACAAAGTCTTACTTTGAAAATTCGTACATTAATATTTAATGAATAACTATACTTTATTTATTCATTTTATTTTTAAAAAGTTCAAACAAACATGAGCACACTCACTTAGGGCCCGTTTGGCATGCATTTTACTTTAGGCGTTTTGTGTTTGGCTAAAACAGAAATAGCGTTTTTACTATTGGAGTGTTTTGGCAAAAATCGGAAGCACGTTTGGGAACGATCTTTTACTATAGAAATGTCGGAAACAAAAACATGCAAAACATGTTTGGTAAGTCATGCGTTTCAAGAATTTTAAAAACAAAACATGTTTGATAGCTCCAACTGTTGTAAACAAAATAAAACAGAAACAAAAAACATGTTTGGTTATCATTGTTTTTTATTTATTTTTATAAATTTTAAATTTATTTATAAATTTATTTCTATATATATAGTCTATATATTTTTAATAAATATATTAAAATTTGAACACACAAACACACACACACACACACACACAGCATGTTGTCTTGATCTGAAACTACACTTTAAGTTATTTGAAATTTCCTGGTATAGTTTGTTCATTTGGTAATGATTGTCCATAGGTTTGTGTTTCATTCATTTTGCTCATTTTTCGCATTAGCGAAAGAAGAAAAAAAAAATACTACACAGCTCTGATAATAATTTTCGACTCTTCTAAGTCTGCATTGGTGGGAATTTAACTCCAAAATACAGATTCTTGCCTTCTCTTTTGTAAAAAAATGTAAACCCCCACCAAATTATATATATATTAATTTTTGTAATAACCTATTTACAAGTTATTTGTAATAACCTACTTCAATTTTATTATCATTATACATGTATAGTCCAACTCAATATTAAAAATAAATAATCTCTAGTCACATTTTACTATACTACATGAGAGTCAACATTTGTAAAAAAATTTGCAATAACCTATTTAAAAGTTCTTTACAATAACCTGCTTCAATTTTATTATGATTATACCTGTATAGTCCAACTCAACATTAAAAATAAATAATCTCTAGTCACATTTTACAATACTACATGAGAGTTAATATTTGTAAAAAAAATTTGCAATAACCTATTTACAAGTTCTTTGCAATAACCTATTTCAATTTTATTATCCTGATACCTGTATAGTCCAACACAACATTAAAATAAAAACAAACTCAATTGAAAGCATAATTGAAATAGAGTGTATAACATTTACAAGTCCTTAAATATTCAACCAACAAATTAAACAAGTTTAAGTTGTACATAAAATGTTTGGAACAAAGCATTAACAATACATAGTTGTCACTAAAAATTGATAGGAAGTTCATAAAGTGGATGACAATGGCAACGACACATCATCTTCATAACAACATATGTGGCCTTCAAGAGAGCATCAACACACTTCATATCTGCAATAATAGCATTTAAGTTGAATTATATATCTGTAAAAAAGATTTATATTACATATATATATTGCAAGCTCACAATAGCAACAAATATATTACATATAAAAGAAAAAATATACCATCACTTTCAGAAGGATCAAGAGTGCTGAAGAGAATTCCAAATTTGATCAGCAATAGTATTACGCAACTGATCCATTTCTCGAAGCTGAGCCGAAGGCACATGCTCAACAATCTCATCATCTTCACCATCACTTTGAGGAGGATCATTACCATCAAATATGTCATCAGGCTGATGCTGATTTTTGATGAAATTATGTAATGTGCAATAAGCCATTACAATCAATACTTGTGTTGAAAACTTATAAGGAGGCATTGCCCTCAAAATAGCGAATCTCATCTTCAATAACCCAAAGCATCACTCAATTATATTTCTCAAAGATGAATGCCTATGATTGAACACTTCCTCCTGACCACGAGGTTGTCTAGTCCTACGGTATTCCTGAAAGTGGTAAGTATGACCTCGAAATGGGGCCAAATAACCAGGCTTATTGGCATACCCTGAGTTCACCAAATAATACTTACCTGCCATGTTTAGAATACATAAAGATATATACAGTATGATAAACTAACCATATATTAAGTGAATTTGTAAAATAATATTACCTGCTGGTGGAGCTGGAAAGTTCATTGCCTCATTTTCAGTACACTCATTTAGGATTCTTGAATCATTAGCTGAGCCTTCCCACCCAGCTAGCACATATGTGAACCTCATGTCAAAGTCACATACAGCCATTACATTTTGTGTAGTATAACCCTTTCTACCACGAAATGGAAGTTGTGTACTTGCTGGCAGAGTTGCAGGAATGTGGGTTCCATCTATAGCTCCCACACAATGCTTGAAGTAAGGGTAAAACCTAGAAGACTCTCTAATCTTATTCGGAATCATAGAAAAATTAGAAGGGGCAATGATATGGGTGCCCAACTGACATACTGCATGCAACACAGCATGGAAGTGTCTAGAAATGGTTTCAGTGAAGTGTTGAAATCTCTCTGCTACAACACGATTCCTTTGATTATGAGATAAAGTGAGCAAAAAGATTGCCACTTGTTCATAAACAGTTAAAAATTTAGAATCCTTCAGCCCTATACCTTTCAGGGTACTACACAATGTTCTGAAAACTTCAGGGTACATCCTAAAATTTTCATAACATCTTTCTCTATGGTCGTTTAAAATCTCCATAACATATGTTTCCCCTTGTAAAATGGAATCCCTACAACGCCTCTTTTGATAGAAGTTCTACTCTTCTAAAAGAGCAGCAAATATTAAGACACTCTCATTGTCCTCCTCATCGTCATATAATTGAATTATTCTTCTTATATTATTCCACATATCCATTACCTTATTTAAAGATTTAATACAAGCAAAACATTTAAGTTAATAAGCAAATCAATTAAATAATAAACAAAACATTTAAATAATAAAACAAACATTTAAATAATGGTATTAAAGTATTTGAGTACTAACAGGCATCCAAGAAATAAAATTATTTAAGTTATTATAGCCATCCAAATGTGAGATAATAAAAGTATTTAAGTTATTACAGCAATCCAGATGTGAGATAATAAAAATATTTAAGTTATTACAGTAATCCAAATGTGAGATAATAAAAGTATTTAAGTTATTACAGTCATCCAGATGTGAGATAGTAAAAATATTTAAGTTATTACAGTCATCCAAATGTGAGATAATAAAAGTATTTAAGTTATTACAGTCATCCAAATGTGAGATAGTAATAAGTTAAACGATGACACAAAACACAATCATCCATAAAGAAAAACTCAAACATTCAATGCCCAACCAATTCTTACATCCTCAGGTGCCGAAAGAAAAAATTTCTGCCACTTCTCAGAATCATGTAATAACTTCGATACCTTAGCGAATTGGGCCATCTCAATTCCAGGTATTTTTTGTAAAAGGAGCATGGAGGCATCAAACATTTCATAATCTCTATCATTTTTTGAGGGAGAGAGAGCTTCATCATCTCCTTTCTCACATGAAGATACACGAGTAGAAGTAGAAGATGCTTTAGCTGCTTTCTCTATTGCAGCTTCCATTCTCTCAGCTCTCCTCTCAGAATTCTCATTCATGTTTAACAAGAGTGTAGCTATACCAGGAGATAAAGCATCTCTTTTGGCTTTCTTACCTTTACGTAAAGGTGGGGGACTGACCTCACAACCCTCTTCCTCATCATCGTCATCATTGGGAGTGGGCAAAATGATTGTGGGTGGTGTAATACCCCCTAATTTCGGAACACGGGTTGATCAAGTCCGCGCACAAAATCAGGGGATATCAAACCAATTAAAGTATTTAAACAAGCACGGATTACAAAATGAAATAAAGAATAAAATAAAACGCTGAAGAAATCCAATTAATAGTAAATCCATTAATAACTTCCAAATGGTTACAATTCGGGAATCCCGTAACTCAAGGACCCCTTAACCAAAAGTTACTATTTAGAATTTTCAACCAATTAAGTACTAATA